TGTCCTATAGGGTCACTATGAGTTGGAATAGACTCAATGGCAACAAGTTTGGTTTTGGCTTACTTGTCATATTCCTGCCCCAGGCCCTTTGCACTCATCATATACTACCTGTGTGGACTCGGACAAGTTAGTCTCTCTCTCTGTATCTCGGTTTCCTCATCTGTACAATGGAGCTCACAGTATCACCCACCTCATAAGAGTGTTGTGACAGTTGTATTCATTTCCCATTGCTGTGTATCAAATGACCCCAAACGTAGTACCTTAAACAGCACCCATTTATATCTCACAGTTCTATAGATCAGGAGTTCTGCAAGCTTGGCTGGGCTCTCTGCCTAGGGTCTTGTAAGGCCGAAATCAAGGTGTCAGCTGGGCTGGGAATGAGTAAATTCTTGTAAGGAGCTTAGAAGCGGGCCCAACACATAGAAAACACTCAATAAATGGGCTCAATTATTGAGTTGTACTGTCTTTACAGGAGCCCTGTGGCACAATGGTTAAGCGCTTGGCTGCTAACTGAAAGGTTGGCAGTTTAAACCTACCCAATGGCTTGGGAGAAAGACCCGGCCATCTATTTCCATAAAGATTACAGCCAAGAAAACCCTGTGGGGCAGTTCTACTCTATCACATGGGGTCACTATGAGTCAGAAATCGACTCAGGAGCACCCAACAACAACTATCTTTACAGAAGTCCCTGGGTGTCGCAAGTGGTTAAGCATTCGGCTACTAGCTAAAAGGTTAGCAGTTCAAAGGCACCTCAGAAGACAGGCCTGGCAATCTGCTCCTGAAAGGTCACAGTCTTGAAAACCCCCATGTGTTACAGAGTAGAACTGCTCCATAGGGTTTCCTAGGCTGCGATCTTTATGGAGCAGATCGCCAGGGCTTTCTTCTGTGGTACCACTGAGTGGGTTTGAATCACCAACCATTAGGTTAGCAGTTATGCATAAACCATTTGTTAACAGCAGCCCTGGGAAATTAATCCATATGTTCACCCTGAAACTTTCCAAATTGTTTTCTGTTCCACTAAGCTGTTGACTCTCAGGCAGTGGTGATTTTGTCCCCTAAGGGACATCTGGCGATGTCTGGAGACATTTTTGGTTGTCGTGATTTGAGAGGAGGTTGTGCCGCTGGCATCTAGTGGGTAGAGGCCAGGGATGCTGCTAAACATCCTACAATGCACAGGATGGCCCCATAGTAAAGAATGATCTGTCTCCAAAATATCAACCATGCTGTCTAGTTATCTAGTGCTGCTATAACAGAAATAACAAAAGTGGATGGCTTTGACAAACAGAAATTTATTTTCTTACAGTTCAGGAGGCCAGCAGCCCAAATTCAAGGCACTGGCTTTAGGGGGAGGCTTTATCTCTCTGTCCGCTCTGGGGGAAGGTCCTTGTCTCTTTTGAGTTTCTGCTCCTGGGTGATCTTCATGTGGGATGGCATCTGTCTTCCTCCATCTCTGCTTATTTCTCTATGCCTAATCTGCTCTTTGTATATCTCAAAAGAGATTGACTCAAAACACACCCTACATCCGGGGGGCATCTAGGTCAATAGGCATAACAAAGTTTATTAAGAAAATGTTCTGCATCCCACTTTGGTGAGTGACATCTGGGGTCTTAAAAGCTTGCAAGCGGCTATCTAAGATGCATCAATTGGTCCAAACCCACTTGGAGCAAAGGAGAATGAAGGACTCCAAAGACACAAGGAAAATATTAGCCCAAGAGTCAAAAGGTCCACATAAACCAGAGACTCCATCAGCCTGAGACCAGAAGAACTAGACGGTGCCTGGCTACCACCAGTGACTGCTCTGACAGGCAACACAACAGAGAGTCCCCAAGGGAGCAGGAGAAAAGTGGGGTACAGAACTCAAATTCACGTAAAAAGACCTGACAGAGACTGGAGGAACCCCCGAAACTATGGCCCCCAAACACTCTGTTAACCCAGAACTGAAACCATTCCCGAAGCCCACTCTTCAGACAAAGATTAGACTGGACTATAAAACATAAAATAATACTCATGACGAGTGTACTTCTTAGTTCAGTCAGAAACATGAGACCAAATGGGCGGCTCCTGTCGGGAGGCAGGATGAGAAGGCAGGAAGGGACAGGAACTGGTTGAATGGACACGAGAAACCTGGGGTGGAAAGAGGGAGTGTGCTGTCACATTGTAGGGACTGCAACTAATGTCACATAACAATATGTGTATAAATTTTTGTATGAGAAATTAACTTGAGCTGTAAACTTTCACCTAAAGCACAATAAAAAGAAAATACCCCACACCCTACAATAATACTGCCTTCTTAACAAAGAAAATCCATTCCCATATGGAATTATAACCCCAGGTATAAC